CAGGAATACACTATAGATGCCTATGATAGAAACAAATAGTAAGTTCTTTTTTCTAATTAATGACTTTCCTCTGAAAAATCGATCTTGAACCAGATACATTACAAATCGCATGAAACTTTTAGGATATGTTGAAGTTATTTTTATCGATAAACGAATAATATTATGTATGCATGAGATTGATATAGTTTTAGAATCTGTCGCAAATGAAACAGTCGATGGAGAAGTTCCAGTGTTAGTATTACACAAAACAGTTATGACTGAAACAACAGCAGAAGTTTTACTAGATAATCTAGAAATGACACAAAGTGTTTCTACTCAATCATTGGAAAAGAATGAGTCCACTAACGTCAATATACATATTACTACTGCAGTTAACCCTTCAACAGTATCTGTTAGTCCAACCACTGCAAAAGAAATTTTATATCAACCAACAACATCTCTTCATGTCGAAGATTCTACTATCTTAGTCAATGCAGACTATGAAAGAAATACTACTATAGTTGAAGGTAGAATTGAATTAACTACTGTTGATACAACAATACCAACAACTGTTGTGCCCACTGATTGTCCAGTTTTAAAGGATTGTCCATTTGATTATTGTGCATTTGCTCGCAAGTTTGATATTCATGGATGTCCAACATGTCATTGCATTCAAGCAAATAAATCAAACATAATCTGTCCAACATTAACTTGTCAAGAATGTCTATATGGACATTATACAGATCCTTACGGAGTATATATATATCTTTATATAAAATGATTTTCAGACACTTATTTTTTCCTCATTTTTTGTTTCAGTGTCCTATTTGTCAATGTCAAAATCGTCCATATCCACCATTAGGTGAACGTTGTCCACAATTAAATTGTGATCCTTGCTATTTTGGCACAGTTAAAGATGAATATAATTGTGATACATGTGTATGTATTCGACCTAATAGTCAAGAATGTCCCGTACTTAATTGTACATTTGGATTATGTAAATATGGTTCAGTTAAAGATGAAGATGATTGTCCAACATGTGATTGTTTATTACCAACAACAAATACAACTGAAGTTAATTGTACAACTCCTATTTCATGTCCTTCGTGTCATCTTGGTGAATAAATAAAGAAAATCGCTATAAAATAGTAAATAATGTCTTTTCTTTTTTTTTCGAATATTAGGCTATGTAACCGATGCTGATGGATGTCAAACATGTCAATGTAAATTTCGTGGTAGTGCTCCATGTGCATCAGTATCATTTGACTGTCAATGCGAGTATGGATCCTATTTAAATTCTGATGGATGTGAAACATGTTCATGTTTACCTGATCCAAAAAGTGCTTCAGGGTAATTTTTAAATTAATTTATGTAAAATTTAATATAAAAGTTTGTTTTTTTCTCTAATAGTCAAGCATGTTGGGAATTATTGAATGAAGCAAAGTTTTATAATATATCTGGACCAAAATGTGCATCAGATGGATCATTTTATGCTCGCCAATGTGATATATCACAATCAAAATGTTGGTGTGTTACATCGACTGGTATTCGTATTAATGGATTTGAATCAAAACCAGAAGAAAATGTTAATTGCGGTATATATTTGTTTTTTGGTCTAAGGCATTTAAAAAAATTTTTTTTTTTTCTTCTGATCATTATAGGTTGTGCAGTAGAATTATATCAAGTATCAAGTCTTCGTATGATTGGTCATCATTTATTATGTTTATTAAATGGAAATTATGCTCCTATTCAATGTGATGGTCGTTATTGTTCATGTGTTGATGAAAATGGTAAATTAATTGGACCAACTGTATCTATTCAAAATCGTGATCAACTTCGATGTGTTGGTGTTTATCAACAACTTCATCCAGGTATGTAGAAATATTGTTCAATAAAATTAATATATTCTATTTTGATTTTTTTTCTTAATGAAAATAGAACGATTTTTATTACATCGAGCAATTATTGAACAATCTAATGGAACTTCATTTCCTTATGGAATATCTTCATCATTATGTTTAACACATCTCGAACAAGTTCGTAATGCGAAGATTATTGATGATCATATTCTCATTCCTGTAAGTATAGTTATTTTAAAGTAATAAAACATACAATATAATTTAATCAAGTTAATTTGCTTAAAACATTTTGTGCTGACTAAAAAAGCTGAAAAGTAGATTTAATTTATCTTCTGTCAAAAGAAAACATAAAGACTAAGGCTATATGTAAAATTTAATAGAAGTATTGATTTTATTTTGTTTATCAATAGGTATGTGATGCTAATGGTTTATATGCATCTGTACAATGTGATCAAAGCGAACGATATTGTTGGTGTGTAGATAAGAAAACAGGTGTTGAAATGGATGGTACACGCCGACTCAATGCTCGACCTAATTGTAGTATTATCTGATTTATTCTAATAATAACTAATTGATTCTTCTTCTTCTTCATATTCTTTTGATTTTTTTGGGGTGTATATGAACATATGTTTATCCTTCTGCAGTGTTTTTTTTTCACAAACAAACATTGTATGGTTTTCTTTTTTTTGTTTCGAATTATTTCTAGCATCTAAATAGTTCAATAAAATAATTAAAAGTATTAGTTTCATTCTTATTCAAATAATGCTTTTATATATATACTAGCTTCATCCATTAGAAGATCTCGATGTAATCGTGTTTCATCATCAAAAAATGCTTGAGCTGCATTAGCATCCAGTAACCATCTTCCAAGAATATTTAATGCTCCTTGTTCATCTGCTGCATTTTCAGCATATAAAAGTCTTTTTCCTTCTACATTGTTGCCACCAAGTAATTTCTGAAAATATTGTTTAATAAGGAAACCTTCACGTGGTGGTTTTGATCCAATAATAAGTACTTGAACGGTTTTTTGTTCTGTTTCATTAAATAGTTTTGTATATATTGGATAAATAACACTATGAAGTCGATCAAGGTGAGCACGGGCAGCATGTTTTATATTAATATTAAAAAGATTTGTAGCTTTATGACAAAACTTGTTTAATGCTGTAATATTTAATTGCTTTGATCGAATTAACGAACGAAGAAATGTAATTGATAAATCAATAATATCAAATTGTATTTTAAACATTTCATTATTTGATGAAAAATCCGAAATATTTAAAGATTTTCGAACAAGTCGAAGTTCTCGTAAATATGATTTAAGTTTAATCAATTCATCAGATGAAAAATTTCGGCTATTTGCTTCAATATTAAAAACACTTAAATATATTGTCAAGGGAATATGTGCAATAGTCTTAAGATTGTGATATAATTGTCGATTAATATTGATAGATGTTTGTTGACCTCGATGTTTCAATGTTAATGTACCTGCATTTGTAATTATTAATGGATCGATTGTAGTTAAAAAATAAGTACTAGCTTTTTTATAAGTACCCAAAAATAGGTTATTAAAGTTGTTTAGAAGAGTATTCGATTGAACTTGATATGTTGTTAGAAATAGAATAATAAACAATGATCCAATAGACAAATACATCTTATAAGATAAGAACATGATCACGTAGAAATTCAATAATATATAAGAAAGAAATAGATGTCAAAAATGATTAATAGAAAACGATAAGATACATGTTGATGTTTTGTACTCCCGAGAAAAAGCTTATTTTTACTTGTATCAAAAGAAAGAGTTTCTTATGCATTGCGAGCACTTTTTGGATGTCATAATGTTTCCAAAGTATCAAATACAAAGTACAAGCTAATATATAAATCAATACTGTGCCGTACGGTTCCATGCACTTGATCGGCACGGAGCGAATGATTAGAAAAAGGATAAGTTGTCGTCTGAGAATATTCGAGTATTATCCTCTGCTGTCTCAAAAATTTGAGTGTTACGAACGATGATAGAAACTCCCTCAAGAGAAGACTGATGAGGTGCTGAGTCCTTCTTCCGCCAGAATCTTTTTTCTGATTACACCATAACAATATTTGTCAGAATAAGGATAATTCTATTTTTATAGCTCTAACATGATCTAATAAAGGCGTCTTTTAGCCATTGATTAAAAAGTCTGTATGGAATTGCAAAAATTAGAAAGACCTAATTAAAATAAAGAATTTGAAATCAAAAGTTTTCATAAATTGTTCAACATTCCGGATCGCCACTCCCGGAACTACAAATACTTATTTAACTAAACTTATTCGAAATCTTAGCAGATTGAATTCTAAAGTAGAAAGTCTGAAGAATAACATTACAATTCTCATTTTTTTTTTAAAACCTATTAAATCACAATTCTGTCCTTGAAAATACGTCGAATTCTAGAATATTATATGACCGATTAAATTGATTGTATAATTCGTTAACAATAATCGTTAATTTTAGCGCTTTATATTGATTGTAATGTGAAAATAAATTTTCATCAAGAAATATCCTAACATTTATCGAACAAAGCACTAATTCATAATTTCGAAAGTTAAAAACATATTTTTCTTTTTCATCAGAAATGCAATTTCTAATTTCATATTAATAGATTACCTAAAACAAAGTCAATTTTTTGAGCCTATTAACTCAACGAGTAGTGTTCGTGTCTCCGATTTGATTTACATAAAATGAAGATATAGTATTGTTAAGTAAATTTTAATGGTGGATGGTTCGTAATATTGCCACATATCAAATCAACAAATGTCTTTCAGTATAAAACTTCGTCCTCTTTCAACTTCGTGAACTATCTGATATATTTTAAATGTAGTAATTTTTTTGTTCGTCATTTACTAATAATTCTACAAACAATTGTAAAATGTCCGGTCCGTACATTTTTATTATTTATTTTTTATGTAAGAATACACGTGACTTCAACTTGAAATATCTTTAGAAAGAACAGAACAAGTATCGATGCATTGTACTGATTGACTTCTCTTTGTTAAAACAACGCGCAAATTCCCTTTTACGACGTTTTTTTTTAATGAGACCTATAAAAATAGCAACAATTTTGCATATATTCGTTCATTTTATATCTGTTTCAAGTTATTACAAGCGAACAAAACAAACAAACAATGTCTAGTACCGGTGCCAATCGTGAATCCGAAGGTGGTACAATGAAAAAAGTTATAGACAATCCGGCAACAGAACCACAATCTCATACATATGCTGAAGATCAATCCCGCTCAAACACGGGACAACAAGGCGGCAAATGTAGCTCCGGTATATCCGATCATAAACCAGGTCAGAGCAGCTGTAGTAATTGTCAGAAGAAATGATTTGAATGTTTTTTATTTTAATTTTTTGTTCAATAAAAACCGATATATATATATATATGTTTTTTCTAATTTGAAAGATGAACACCAATTAAATTTTGCTTTTAAAAATACTAAAGGAAATATTGATCCAAACAAAGCATCTATTTAAATAAGAATTATGCTTTTCTTTTTGTATTAGTGGAATCATATATAAAAATTATTTTTACTATTTGTTATAGTCGAAAGAATGTTGCTTAAGGTTATTCGAATTTGATGAACAATATTGACAGAGATTACAACAACTCATTTTTTGCTGTATAATATGCAAGGTTGAGTTTTGTGATATTTCTTTTTGATATATGATGTATGTGTTAGTGCTTTTAATCTTATTCATTCGCATATTGATACAAACTGCGTCCTAAGTTTCGATATCTAATCTCACACTCTCTCTCGTGTTTTACAATGTATTAGAAAACATTATGTTCGATAATCAGTCGACTCGATTGATATGCATTAGCAGTACAGCAGGCTATTAGCAATATGGCGCAAAGAACTTTGGCTTGATTATCAATGATATACAAGTAATTCTTGCTGATGTAATATATTTGACCAATAATATGGATCAGATAGAATTTAGATTAATCAATACTATGTTCTTTTGACGATTTTTTTACCGTTTTTATAGGAAGTATTCTTGAGTAAAAATTTCACATCTATCCTACAAATTGTACTCTATGTGAGTAATAAAATGATTTTGATGTACTAAATTCAACGAGAAGAATAATGACTTTGAAAAGAATAAACTTCGATGCTTATTATTTGTTTAATCGATAGAGTTTAATCATTAAATTCAAAGTATGTTGATTGTATGACAATGATATTGAAGAAAATTACCTATTTGATAAAGATTTTTTTAATACTACTCAACGATAATATAAGTTTGAATAGTGAAATCTTTTTATTTGATCATCGATTGTTGTCATATGTTTTTTATATAAATCCATTTATCTTCTATTATTATACTTTCAAGGCCTATGAGACCATATCTGCCATAAAACAAGCTAAAATGATTGTTTTGATCTTCTTTTCATTAATAAAACAGAATGATACTATCGATTATAGGATAAATGTCATTTGGTAATTGGATAATAACGATGATAAATAAATGCATTATATAATCGTTTCATTGATTATGATGCAAAACAGAAGAATAAAGCTAATAGCAATGGAATAACTGGATATAAATATTGGAAGAAGGTAAAAATGTAAATTATTTTTGGTTGCAATGTTTAGTTAAGTGTTCGATTGCGAAACAAATTTCATCAGAAGTAAAAGTTAATATTGGTTGTATTTTTTCAATAAAAGAAAGAATTACATAGAAAAAAAAAACTATAAGATCATTCACTTTTTTTTTGATCATCAATCTTAATCCTATCAGATTATTACATTTGTGATAAAGATTGACAAATGTATTTTTTTTTATCTGTCCATACTTATTTCAACTAGTAATCGATTTGCCAAGATAAGATTCTATTCTATAGCATCATAATTTTTTTTTTGACTTAGAGACTTGACAAGATAAATGTTTGTTCTTTGCCAAGAGGAATATATGCCAACTTGATACTTTTGGTGACGCATTTTAGCTGAGAGACACCAACATCTGTCATTCTAGCCGCTACTGCTATCATGGCCATTCCCTAAATCTGTTTCTCATTGATCAATACCCCTGTTTTTAAGGATGATGAATGACGTGAGAATCGATACATACTCATAACTATGTATATATGTAAATGTGTTAGAATGAACTCAGGAAACTAATAGATAGAAATTCATAACGACAGAAACATTTAGTTGCATCAAGTCATATTTAGATTTTTCAAGCAATGGATTATAATAAACTTGCACTTAGAAGAATATTTCTAATAAATGAAAAAAAAAATCATTCAATATTTTAAATGTTCAGATGATGGAATCATATCTATCAGATTGTAGCATATTATAGAATTGATGTTCATTCAATTTGCATTACTATGAGTTAAAGTGATAGATTCCCAGTTCTGCTGATAGTATGGTTCATCATTTAAATTTTCTAGAAACAATAGCATATGAAGTTTTTCTATGAAACTATTGTAATAACACAATCTAAAATAAATAATCGATAAATATTTAAAGCACTGTATTTTCTCAAAGATAGTTTTCTTTCTTTTTGTTTGTTCACTTTTATTTCATAGTTTTCTTTTTAAACATAGTCTAAATATTTTAGTTTTATTCTTATGCAATACATTTCATGCAATCAATCATCTAAGAGATATTGACGTTCAAAAATTATTCACTTGATACACCGACTGTTGCTCATAATGTGTATGTTTATTTATTCACAAACTGATTGTCACTCACTCAATCATTTAGACAACTGTGTTCAAATGATTGCCCATAGAGACATATGCAATATCATGCCGATCGCGCAATACATATTTATACAATCATAATAGTTGACATGTGTCAAAAAGATGAATTGATTTTTATTTTTATTTTTATTGACAATAAAATCTTGATCGTGTTAATACACATATAATAAAAAAAAAACTTCATAATATTTAAGAGAGTTTCAGCTATTACAATGTGGTTATCGATACAAGAAAAAATGAGACTTCTCATAATGATAACGATAGTCAATATAATTGTAAGATCGTATAAGTGTCGACTTTCTTTTTCGTGATGTAATCTATACAGAATTGTATCTATGAACAAGTAAAATGTATGCAAAGAAAATAAGTGAACACTCGTCCTTGTTCGACCTACTTGACACTTTTCTTCATGCAATTATATACATGTAACTTTATTTGGTCTCTTCTTGCTCTATATTTGAACATTATTTGTTTCGTTTTTTTATACTTCATATTGATATTCTAGTGTAGCGGTAGCCTATGTGCGTGCTCATCAATATTATATACATATATTTATATTTATGTGTAGACAAGTTGATCAAAACGATTAGTATATAATAACGATTACATTCACATAGAACAAGAATTATGTTAACTATTGTACCCATATTATAATTTCAACGATGACTATTGCATAATAAAGTTCAAGGCACGTAGAAATTGAAGAAGCAGAAGTCGCTCATTCGTTCCGTCAAGAGAAAAGAAAAAAGATAGAAAGGTACTTTTGCATGTTGTAAACGACAAAAATATTTCTTTTCTTTTTATTTGCTTTCCTGACATGTCTCATTCTTATTAATCTTCAATGTTATGTTACTAAGCTAAGTTGTCGAAGATGAACGACTCAATAAGACGAAGGATCATCACTCATGCAATGAAATGAAATCGTGTGTTCTTTTTTATCTATCCGTATAATTAAAACGAAATATGAAAGATCAAATAATTTGAGGTTTAAATTCATTACGGTTATCATTCATTGATATCATTTATCAAACGATAGCTAAAGCATTGATCTTCTTTTTTTTCTTTTTCTTTTTCTTTTTCTTATTCTTATTCTACTTTCTTTTTCGTGTTCAATGAATTTTTGTTGTGGTTACATTTTCTTCTCTTACACATTTATGTTTTTACTGACTTCCGAGGGAGTTTCTTATGTTTGTATGCTTCTATGTCGGAACGTGAATGATGAAGGATGTGTTAAGTACTACTAGAAAGAAACTAGGTGTTAGAAAAGAAAAGAGTGTTGATTAGCTGAATAAAAAGAAGAAGAGAGCAAAAGTGAGGTAGAAAAATATTAAGATACATGTTCACGTTTATGTAAAACGCAGAAGATATAACATCTTTCATGTTCAGTATTTGCATGCTACATCTTATTTCATATTATATTTTCAAGATACTTAATATTTAAATGAATATTTAATTTTCTTTTTTTTTGCCACTATTTAGCCGTTATTCTAGATTGGCCTTCTATCATAGAAACTTAAGTTGTAAATATTTCAGTGGAAGGGTTTGTTATTAAAATTTATGAGAACTATATGAAAATGTAGTTTCTTTCTTTATATATGCTTTCTTTTTAAACATTCAGTATTATATTCATGTTGAATGTTGCAATGTAATCTTTTTCTTTCCTGCTTTGTTGTTCTTCTCCTCCTTCATATACACATACGTATAGGATCAGTGTGTCACGTCATCATTATTGCACCATATATATATATATATATATATATATATATATATGATTATATACAGAAAAAAAGTAAATCAGCAGTAGTATTGATTGAGAAATAGTACTCTTCAAGTAGCAGACATCTGCTACTTGCTTTTTCTTTATCTTTTGTTCTTTCTTTTTTTTCTATTTAAAGAAGCCTTGGGGCGTGTGAAAAAATGACACATACAATAGTACAAGATTGATAGAGGAGTGTCTATTCTGGAGTAACATCTTCGAGATGATAAAACGTCATTATTTGTTTTTTTCCTTCGATAAGAGACCGATTATTAACCTATACTTATTATAAAGACTGAATGTTTATGATTAACTTCGATATATCAAGGAAGTAGACAAAAGAAATTTTGTATGCTTTTTATGCATTGGAATATTGATAGATAGAACAATAAATGGAATGACAAGAGAAACATCTTATGAGTAACAAACAAGTAAAGACAAGAGAAAAAAAAAGAAAGAGAGAAGATTGCTTTGCAATTATCTCGATATTTGGCGAAGGTCACTGGAAACAGAACACGACACAAGACAGACAAAAGCACCATTAGTATTCGCTCGTTTTCTTGCATGCCAGAGCTTTGTGTAAAGCAACTAGTTAGAAAAAAGAACGAGGAAGAGAACGGATGAAGAAGACGACTGCCTCTAGATCTATTTGCGGTACCAATCGTATGAACAAAGAAAACATAGAAAATGACTTTGAGTTTCACGCATGAATCAGTATTATTATTTATATTCTTATAGTCATTATTATCTTTTTTTTTTTTTCTTCTAGTATGTCCAACGATGAAGTCAACTACAATTATCATTCTATAAGCAGTAGTTATTCAATAGATTACACGCAATTTATTCTAATCGACCATACGAATAAGAAAAAACATCGTATGTAAACAATGACGGAAGAATAAGATTAAAATAAAATAATATTATAATGCTTGGTAAACCAGTTGATACAATCGTAATTACATCCGATACATTTGATCGAGTACCTAGAGATAGGTAAAAAATATATATACAATATAGAAAATTTATGTTAGATTTTATTAAAAAATAGATGTTTTGGTGTCTTTTGGGCATTCGTCATCCATGGCCTTGGTTGTTTTTTACCATGGAATCTATTATTTCATAGTTATGAAGTAAGTCGATTAGTATATTGACAAATTTAATTAAGTTTTTTTTTTTTTTCTATTAATATTATTAAATCATATTCAATTATCTTTGTTTTTGTTTGTTATTATTTGTATACAAAATTGGGAAAACTATATTTCTGCATATAGATATTAATTATAAAATAATCTTACAAATAACTTTTTGTGCTTATTATTATTTTTTTTCTATATATTATTTAGTATTTTGTTTGTTGCAAATTTCTTGGTGATGATTCGGATATTTATCGCCAATATTTTTTAAGTTTTTGCGCTTTAGCTGCTTTACTTGCGGCTTTAGTTTCTACTGGTATTGGCCTTTTTATTGGTTTTCAGTAAATATTTTGGTTTTTTTTTTATTAAAAAAATATAAAAGAAATTATACTTCTATTTGATATAGTGGCGATACAAAACGGCGTGTTATTCCATCAATTGTTGTGCTCATTATCATGTTCATTCTACAGGTGCTTTTTGCCGTATTCGATGCTCGTGATTGTAAGGAGTTTTAATAGTTTTTTCATTGACATAAAAAAAACTTTATTATTTTCTTTTATAGCTTCAGGTGTTTTTCTTTGTATTACAATTCTTAATATTGTAGTTATAGGAGGTAATCTTATATATTTTAGTAGTTTTGTTTTCTAACTTTATCATATGTTTATTTAGCTTTTATTGGTCTTTATTTATCAAGTATCGCAGGCATTGTTGCATATTTTCCTGATCGATATGTGAATGCACTTGTCATAGGCACAGTAGGTGTGAATTATAATATGATGACAAATTAATGATTGAAAAGTCATTCCTTTTTTTGCTTTTGACTATTTAGTCACTTGGTATTTTGATTGCTATTTGTAGTAGAATTACTTTTAAATACTGTAAGTATGTGTAAAACAAAAACATGACAATATATTACTTATAAAAATTATTTAAAAATATTTATAGAAAGAATACTAAACAATAAATATTTAGAATATAATAGAACATCGAAAAACTCGTTTTTCTTCACATTTAAAAGAGCGAAAAAAACTATGTCTTCTAGATTATTGATTATATCAAGTGATAATAACATAAGAAAATATCAAAACTATTCTAGCTAATTAATATATACATTTTTAGGATAAATATATTACGAAAAATTCGAAACATAAATTTTTTTCAAGTGAACTTTATAATACTGTAAAAAGAAAAGGTAGCTATATAGATTGACTGAACTCTTTTAATTAAGTTCTATTTAGCGGAAATCCTAGTTGATCCCTCGTTACAATGAAAAGACAATAAATATAACTTTGCATAGTTAAGTTAAAGTCACAAAGGAAATCAGACACAATTGAATATTTCTGAAGTTCATTCTAATACTTGAGTAGTTTCCATATAATCATTTAGAATAATGGACAGTACTTTACAAAAAAAAAAAAAAAAAAAAAACTTTAATATCTTCTAGTTATTGTAGAGACAAAGTTTCTGTTTTTAGTATACATACTAATTGTTTTAATTATTATTATTTTCAATTTTTCCTATGCTTTTTTCTTTTGTAGACACGAATGATCCAAGGGTGATTGCAATTTATTTTCTGGTCACAGCTGTTGTCACACTTCTTTTTTGCTTTGATATTTATTTTGCTTTTCCTTATTCGGTGCGTATGATAATATTCAATTTATTTTCATTCGTAATTCATAAAAATTATTTGTTAAAATAGCGTTTGTTTCGATTTTATCATACATCAATAAAAATAGATCTATTACATACGACAAAAGGACATTTACTTCATATCCCATATGGAAACGTATTGAAACAAGTATATGAAAAAAACTTTTTTTTTTCCTGATATTATAATTGAGAATAATATTCTCACTTAAGATTTGGCTTCAATGTTTATCAATTTGGTTACATTATTTATCGACAGTAACTCTGTTTCCTAGTATTCTCATTCAAGTGCAAAGTGTTACACCAAACTTTTTTCATACAAGTAAAATTATTCATAAATATAATTTATAGTTAATAGAATTTCTTTTTTTTTTTGTGATTAATAGATCTTCAATTTGTCGATGCAGTTGTTTTGATTAATTTTGCTTTATTTAATCTTCTAGGAAATTTTCTTGCAGGTTGCGTTAAAAAAGTAAATTATTTTATAAATTAAATCAATTATATGAATATATTTATTTGATTTTAGCCATATTCACGATGGGTTTCATTTTTAGTTTTTATTCGTGCAATTATAGTATTGATCACATTTCTTTTTGTTAATTTTGAACCAGATTCAAGACATAATGTGCCAATATTGATTCGTGATGATTATGTTTTTATGTCACTTGTCATTATCTTTGGATTTACACATGGTTATTTAAATTCAATGCTACAAATGTTAACAACAAAGTAAGATAAGAATTTATTTTTTCTTGGATATTTAATTAGTTGTTCTTAATTATATTTATAGATCGGTAGAACCATATCTGTCAGCTACAACAGCTGTTCTATTACAATTATTTATATTTGCCGGTTGTTTTTTTGGTATTATTGGTTCATTTGTATATCATTTTATAGCAACATTGTTTTAATCGATTTAACGTATTAGACTTGATTTGTTTGTAGCTTAATCATTATAAACTATTTGACAAAAATAAAGCACAAGAAATTAATTAATTACATAATAATGATAAAGATTCATGATATAAACATACTTTATTAAATATCAAAAACAGTATGCTCTTTGAAAATTTACATTTGCAATCAATCATACTATCTCAATAGTATAACTATCATGTAACATGTATATAACATCAATAATTTCAACACATTAGTATAATGAACAAATAAACATATTTCAATAAAAAAATTTCCATAATGGATTGTATCTTTCTATGTATCTGATAAAAATCTAATGCAAATATACAAAAAACATGACTTTATCTATTCATTGATTATATCTACATAATAACAGATAGAAAAAAAAAACGTAAGCCTTATGTTACATCAAACTTGTCATATTCACAGAGCAATGGATGCAATGGCGATGGTCTTGTTGCTGATGAATGACAACAAGTAACATTTGTTTCATTGAACCATTTTACACCTTGAGGTGTTTGAACAAATGGTCGATTAGGACCAAGCTTATGTAATCGTTCGAGTATATTTTTTGAAACTAAACTGTCTTTTTGACCATGAAAAATAAGATAGACTCCATCACAATAAGGTAAACACGAGGGTGTCTTCTGTGGTTTTTCATACTTCTCAAGATAAAGTGGACCATATGGATCATATTTACATAATGTATGATTTGCCTTAGCTTTCCATAACATAATATTCATCGCTGTTTCATCAAAATTAGCATCCATAAAAGCTCCACTTTGCATAAGTGTTAAAACATGACGAATAAATGGATAGGCTCGATAAGTCCATACAAAAGTACCATGCATATATGGTGTTGTTCGATATTTTACTTTATATTGTTCCATAAAGTATTTATAGTTTCTAGGATCATCTGGATGTTTAGGTGCTAATGGAAGATCATATGGCCATACATGAAGCATATCAAAAAGTAAATCAATATTATAATTAACAACAGAATCAATTTCAAGTTGTATACCATAATTTACTTCACTAGAAATGATAGCTAAAAGTTTACAAGCAAATATGGTTGGACCACAATCTTTTTGTGATATTCGTTCTATTGTAACACGTGGATGTCGTGTAAAATTGATTATTAAATCAAAATCAATAGAAAAAACAATTATTGAATGTGTAGAAAATAAATGAATAGAATCAAGAAGTACGTCAAGTAATTCGAGATAATTTTGTTGTAAATTTGTAAAAGTAACAAAAGCTTCTTTTGGATAATGAGTTCGATTAATCGGACGTCGAATATGGTGTGAAATGAAATTTGGTATGTAATCTGTTAAAGAATTAATCCATTGCTGATAGATCATTAAACCAAGTAGAAATATTAAAAAAAAACGAGTGAACAGAGATTTTTTTGTCGACATATCATCGATTGATTGACATGTATTCTATAACAATTTAAAGAGTGTTGTAAATGATTATTTTTTAATTGTAAAATCTCATTTTTTCTGCATCAGAGATTAGTTACCAACAAAACTCACATGGTAAATTGGTAAAAAAGCACTATACAAACGTTCGTTTGTTTGTTTTATGTTGCATTTTTTCTTTTCGTCAATAGTAGTGCAGAACGAATGAATATTTGAATTCTTAAATTTTTTTTTTCATGATTGTTCTCTTGCAAAAAAAAAAAGATCACGATTTCTTTTCTTTTCTTTTCTCTTTACCATTGTCTATGGAGTTTTTATATCCAATTCTTTGTTATTAAATTTTTTTAGTAGTTATCAATACTTTCGTTTCATAATTATGGTTATACATCAACTAACAAGATCCATTGAACGATTATTTATAATATTGTTGAAGAATTATTCTTTGGATTTTTTTTACTTCTCTTCAAGATAAGTTTTATATTAGGATTAATTAAAGTTTAATAAATTCTCATTACATCTATTCGAAACGATTGTGATCAAGTGACTACATTTTTTGACAAGTATCTACAAGGTGCCATATACAAAGTTCAGTACCAACAGTCATGAAATAACCCTGGACAGGTCACTAACAGCTGTTTGTCTCGAACTATCCATTTCGATTGCACAATAACTACTATGTGGTATATATCTACTCTTATGACAAGTATGTGGTTAGATAGTGTGTATGGAGAGCTTAAGCAGTTAAGCGCAAGAAGTTTGCGTTAGGCTTGCGTTTTGTCCAGAGCTGTGGCTAGTCATAGGTATAGGGAAGATATCGAGCGATTGAATCTACCTTCAGACAGCACTCCATATTGCAATATAGATGACAGTTACGGATGTTCTTGCTTCCTTCGTCGAAAGATTAATTCTATTTTGGACAGATAATAATATCTACATAATATTTACAAACCTCATCTTGCAACTTAGAAATTCTAGTTTATAAATAGTTGACTTTGTCAAAAGATGACGCCCGTTGACACGTAAATATGTAGTATAGAATTATCGGCTATTGCTTGTCATAGAATGATAAGTTTCGGTATGCATTTTACTGTGAATTTTTTAACATAAATGATTATTTATCGAAAGATTTTTAGAGCTCTAAAAATACCTGAATATAATCGAACGATATGCTTTACTACATAACTGTTTTAACATTATTGAGAAAGACATTACAGTGAAATTCATGTTTCTCGGTATAATATCGTATACATCTGCCGAGCATTGTTTAAACATCCGATTACTTTTCCAATAAACAAAAAGAAAATACTCAAATAATATCAATAACATAGAACAATGTTGTTTTATAAAAATTTATAAAAGAAAAAAAGTGTCATACAATTTTTTCTTTATCTTTAATATGATTTACTAAAAACCTAATCATTATACGAACGTATCATTTCTTTATTTCATCAAACGAATATTATCCTTGTAGAAAAAAAACTAAATTGTATAAATAGAATCACATTAAATCTTGGACAAAAAGTATCACGAGACAGTTTATTCGACTGGTTTATGTTCACATAAGAGTGGATGAATGGGTGATGGCTTGCTATCTGGATAGCAACATGTTACACTTGTGTCATTAATGTGTTTCATACCGCCCATGCCAAATGTTTGCATAGCTGGTTTACCGGCATTAGCTTTAAGTTTAGTTAGGAGGTCAGCTGAAATATTGTGCTCTTTGCAACCATGTAATGTAATAAAAGCTGTATAACAATAATTCGAACAATTTGTTATCGTAGGCCATTTTAGATAAGCTTCAGAATAAGTGAAAAAAGGATCTAAATGAATATAAATAATTGGTTTCTACATCACTTTTCTCAAAGTGACTGCATCATATTCTAACTTTTGCTTACATTAAACAACGATGTTCATTATTCTCATGATTCTCTGTTATGCATTATAATGAATATATGTTAAACATAAAAACAAAACGAGTAGGATTTCGATTTCATTTTTGTATTTTGATCTATTTGAAGGTTAATTGGAGTAGACACAGACAGATTAGTTTTGTTGATTTTTATTAATTCACATTTATTTTAAGTAACTACATCTTGTACTTTATGTTAAAGCAAATAAATCGTAATAGAAAATGCTTTTCGTCATAAATTCAACTTCACACTCATTCTTCATGTTAGAGTTTTATTGAATTACTATCAAAAATCTTACAAGAATGAAAATGTCTTCATTTTTATTGTAGACTAATAGATATTATCGCCCTTTCTATTCACCGTAACATCAACAAAATCGATTATAATTTTGAACCTTGAGCAAGATTTTCTTGAATTGACTAGTTTTTTCTTTTTTTTCCTAACTGGGATAATTACTAGATACAAACATATCAATATATATATGCTGTGTATCATATCTCTATCAACCATTATTTTAGGTCAAATTTAATATTTAGCTTCGTTATTAGCTCGTGCGTTATAAATAATATGATAAAGACTATTGTAAAAAATTTCCAATAAAACTTTAACATAAAACACATTTTCTATAAAGCTGGCGCAAGTATTTGTGGTTTGTTTTTCTTTTTATATACTCATGGTTATTGATGTTTTGGTTTTGAATAATTTGTAATAAATAAGATTTCTATAGATATAAATCTTAGGAACTTAGAATAGAATATTAAATTGCAGTAGTGAACATTTTATAAATAACATCTTCATCAGAGATCATGCTAATGAGATTCAATAATGAATAATCTTTAATTTGTATTCATCGAACGACTTTATACCAATATGTAACGATTTTTCACACACTGCTCAATCCTAAAACTTCAATTCTGTCTCACTGTACATACTATCTGTTAATCCCAAAGTACAGATATGGAATATTAGTAATTCGTCAGTTTTTTTTCTGTCAAACAATCGTTTATAAAAATAAATATGAGATATTATGATCTATACTGCATACATTTCTAGTGTGTCTTGTTGAAATAACAAAATCTCTTACCATATTTGCATAATGTGTGATTAGCTTTCGCTTTCCATAACATAACATTAACAGCTGTTTCATCAAAATTGGCGCCTTGGAAATTACCTTGTTGTAAAAGAGTTCGAAGATTTGTTAAAAATGGTATAGAAAGATAGTTCCAAATCATATGAGCATGAATATATGGTGTAGTACGTGTCGATACATTATGTTGTCTCATAAAATCATGATAGTTTTGTGGATCATCTGGATGACGTGGAGACAATGGAAATGGATAAGGCCATATATGAAGAACATCAAAGAGTATATCGATATTATAATTTACCACATCATCTGTTTCCATTAGAACTCCATATTCAACATTACTACTAACAATGGCATGTATTTTACAAAAGTAGACGGACTAAAAATAATAATAATATCGAATATATATTAATTAGTTTGATAAATGTAATATTCTATCTTACTGGTCCACAATCACTTTGTGATATACGTCTTTTAATAACACGAGGATATTTTTTATCATCAACATCAGGATCAACATCGATTCCAAAAACTATGATAGGTCGTGTTGAAAAACTATGAACAGAATCTAACAA